ACAGAAGCAAAGAAATGAACAAACAATTTTCAGTGGTGCTCAAACCTATCACAAGGTTGGCTTTTCCTATTAAAATTATGAATGCTGGAAATTATTATTGAAAATGCTTGGGAAGTTTGAGGGTAACAAATTAATTATAACTGAGTTTCCACCCATATGGGTAGAGCTCACAATGCAATAGCAACTGAAAAAGAAAGAAAGCTAAACATTTTGTCTACATACAAGGAGTGGTTCAGACTCCTAAGACTGTTCCAAGCAATGAGCCATCAAGCGTCAAGCAATATCCCATATTAGGGTTCATTGGGTTGCGTATAACACCAAGCCAGCTTATCCAGGCCTGTTTCACAAACCAGGTTCAAACTGTGTTTTGATTCTGGTTTGGTAGCCAACCACAAACCATGATTTTCTTAAAGTTTGTTGATGGTTTTATGCTTGAACCATCTCAGTACGTCCACATTCCCTATGCAAATGCCTTTTCAATGCCAAAGAAGGGTATAGGACAGTTGATTGATTGATTGACTGATTGATTGATTGATTATACATCCTGCCTACAAGGTGGCTGATAGAAATTTACAACATTTTATGCACTTAGGTATAAAGGTCCGTAAAACAATATCATTAAAATATTCATGGAACAATAGGAAAACAGTTAAAAGCAACCAGTGAAACAATACTCAGCAGAAAACAGTATAATTCCTGCAATAACTTTTCACCCCTGATATTTAATATACAATTCACATTTTGGTCAAACGCTGGTGAACTTCCTCCACCATCCGGACCTTCACAAATTTCACTTCATAGGAAACCAGACTCTGGAGCAGTTCCTTTTTTCGAGCAGGAATTCTAAGGATTCACTAGCCAACCTGGCGAGTGGCCATACGGACAGGGAGATTCCAGGGTATGAAACAAATGAAAACGAGGTTGGGGTTTATGCATGACCTGTTGAAAGTGGCCAGTGGACCTCTCTCCATCATCATAGCTCGCTGGATTTGGAAGGGAGCTATAAGGCCATCAGGTCTGCATCCCCCTCCCTCTTTCGCACATCAGAAGAGCTATACGGGATGACACCAGAGGCTAGAGGAACACAGATCTGTGTTCCAGGATTACAACTCCTTTTGGGTCAATGGCTTGGCCACTCTGGGAGCAGAAGGCTGGAACAGAAAGTCCTCTGGTACAAGTGTTTTTGGACCACAGTTCCCAGAATTCCACAGACAGGCAGCCTCTCTCTATTTAGCAAGCCTGAGCAGACCCCATGGAATTCTGGGAACTGTAGTCCAACAACACTTCTACCAGGGGGTTTTCTGCTCCAGCCTTCTGCTCCCACCTTGGCCAAGCGATTGACCCAAAAAGAGGATGCCAGCAGGACATGAACACAACAGCACCTTCTGCCTCATGTTCCCCGGCAACTGAAAGGACACATATGTTAAACACACAAATAACAATAAATATTGAAACACTAATACCATAAAAACCAAATGGCACCAGAGATAATTTCCCCAATAATAGCAGGACAGGAGGCGAACCGTCAACCAGAGTCGGCGTGAAGGGCCTCCCTGAAAAGCAGCGTTTCAAGTTGCCTTCTTAATGATAGCAGGGAGGGGGCCAGATGTAACTCCTCCAGAAGCTGGTTCCATGAGGTCGGAGCCACCACATAGAAGGCCCTGCCTCTGGTGGATGACTTTGAAGCCTCCGTCACGGTGGCTATGTGGAGAAGGCAAACCTGGGAAGATCTGGTGGGTCGGGCAGATGGCTTTGGGGAGAGACATTCTGACAAGGAACATGATCCCAAGATGTGGAGGCCTTTATATGTATGAATTGCTCTGAACCTGATTCAGGATACAACAGGTAGCCAGGGGAGAAGAGCCAGAACTGGAGCGATGGGATCACATTGGCTCACACCTATCTGGCGGCCGCATAATCTCTGGACCTGCAAGGATCTCCAGGTCCGTCTCAAGGGAAGCCCCATGTTGTAGTAGTCAATCCTGGAGAGGACTAGTGCTTGCACCGATGTCTTGAAGGAACCCCTGTCTAAGTAGGGTTGGAGATGGGCGATGAGCCTCAGCTGACGAAAGGCTGATCTGGACACGTTTGCAATCAGGGAATCCCAAGAAAGAGCCAGGTCCAGGAGAATGCTCTCCTGCCAGGCTAGCAGCCCTTGGCAGCCTTTTCTGCCAGCCATTGCCTTGGAATCGTCGAATCATGAAGTTGGAAGGGGCCCTATAAGGCCATTGATTCCAACCCCCTGCTCCATAAAGGAATACAAATCTTTTTCTCACTCTCCCCATCTAGTCTCAATCCTTGAGGTGGGCAACGACTGTCTTCCGAGGTAGTTGACAGCAGCACCATGACAGGTGTGCCCAGAGACTATGACAGTAAGAAAAGCTGTACGCCATCAAGTCCAACGTATGGGTACACCTCCCAGGGTTTCCTAGTATACAGTACTTATGCTTTTGCAGAGCAACGTTTTTGGGAAGGGAAAAGAATCCTAACGAGGGTCTTAAGGGTGATTGCCGGGCGTGAAATGCCACACAAAACAAACAGTCTCTTTCTTTGAGGGCCATGTGTAAATGCAGGGCTACCCAGTGCACTGCACGCGATAGAGTGACAGGCTGGGACTCTTGAGACCACGGTTCGAATCCCCGCTCAGCCATGGAAACACACGGGAGCTCGGAACTCATAAACCCGTTCCTTAAATATCTCACTTGCTTTGAAACCCCTATCAGGGTCGCTATAAGTCAGTTCTGACTTGACCGCGCAGAACAACAAATAAATGCACAAATATTTGCCATGGGGTCCCACCCTTACGTCTGAGGAGGTGGACATATCCACGAAAGCTCATGTTAATATATAGTAATTCGTCTTTAAGGGGCCAGAAGGTTTTTAATCTTCTTTTGT